CAGCTATTTTTTGATACCTAAGCGCGCATTGTAGCATAAACCAGTGTCGAGAAAAACTCATTCAAAGCTAGACTACGCAACACTCCGCACCGTCATTATGCGGGTGGAGTACTATTACAGTGTTTACGATAATTCTTTATTTGATTTAAACTGAAGAAAAAGAAAGGAAAGGGAAAGAGAAAGAAAGAAAGAAAAGAAAAGAAAAGAAAAGAAAAGAAAAGAAAGAAAAGAAAAGAATATAAGTATGAAGAATAGTTTTTTCAATAGTAAACTCATAAAATGTAGATTTAGTTACCTATTTTCCTACTTAAAGCATGGTTTTCTTTTCTTTAAAATAATAATCGAGATCAAATGTTAATTGTTTGACTATAAATTCTCTTTATAATAGAATTTTTTGAGAGCAAAAGCAAGCAAAAGCCAGAGGTGGCTGGCTAATTCAAAGTCTATAGTCGGTGTAGAAAATCTTTCATTTCATCGTTCCCATAAAAGAATATAAAGTAACTATAGTGAAAGAAAAGGATTCACGCGATTTGCAAGAGTTTTCTAAAGAAAAACCCTCGAACTTCGAACACTTTCTTTCTTGTCTTTTCTTCAATTCAATAGCTTCTTCTTTTTCTTTCTTCTTTTAGCTAAAGAACTCTTCTATCCATTAGTGTCATTAGATTTCAAAAGAAAAAAAATAAAAGGGCAAAGGTTCACTTTTCTTGAAATACAAGTAAAAAATACTGAATATTTCATTGTTTTTTTGGGAGTGGGACAAATGCGACCTTTTTTTTGCGCACCCGGACATTTGCGCACCTTTTTTTCCGCACCTTGCCCATTAGCGCACCTTTTTTCGCGTTTTAAAAAAGCTCTAAAAAGCTAAAAGCTCTAAAAGCTAATATTAACCAATTTCTATTCCAAAAGTTGTTTTTCTAGGTAATTTGAGGGCGTAGAATCGAAATTTTGGCATATCAGAGCTTGTGGAAACAAACGGACGGAGTTATACAAAGAGAAAAATCGACAATCAACAATCGACAATTTTCTGTAATTTGATCTAGCCTTCAAATTGTCTTTCAAATTGGTTCCACACGCTCTGTTATGTCAAAATTTGAATTCGACACCCTCAAATTACCTAGAAAAACAACTTTTGGAATAGAAATTGGTTAATATTATTAGGTTGAGCAAAGCTTTTCCTTTTTTTCGTACTTCTGTTAAAAAAAAAAAATTCACCAATTAATCTATATTTGCTCTATAAAAAAAAAAGTTTTTTTGTTCAATTTGCCTTTTTAAATGAATTTCGGTTCACTTTCAAGAAAAGGGGGGAAAAACGCCTTTTTCGTAAAAAAAAAAAAAAAACGGAAAAAAAAACTGAATGAATTTCTCGAAATTTTGGGCGAAACAATCTTCTCCACAGGGCCCCTGCCAAAACGCGCCCCCCCCCCCCCCGCCCCCCCCCCCCAACCAGGAAACCCGTTTATGTTGAAAAATTGGTTTCATGATCCACCGTGCCCGCGGCTGGAACGCGGAAGGCGAGCTTCTCAACCTAATAGCTTTTTAGAGCTTTTTTAAAACGCGAAAAAAGGTGCACTAATGGGCAAGGTGCGGAAAAAAAAGATGCGCAAATGTCCGGGTGCGCAAAAAAGGGTCGCATTTGTCCCACTCCCGTTTCTTCTTGCTTTTTTTGAATAAAATCAAAGAAATGGGACATTAAAACACAAAAAATTCGAAATTCGGCAATTTTTTATTCTAAGGATGAACTACAAAAAAAACGGGAATCAAGTACACCTGAGTGCACTAGAAATGATGAGTTTACATGTTCAAGCACAAATTACAAAAAGAAAATAAGTTTATCCAGATGAATGGCAAGAAAAAGATGGGTTTTGGGTCAAAAAGATGGGTTTTTCTTTGTGGTTCTTTGTGTTAAACACTTTTTTTTATAATGCAATTCTGCTGTGATAATAGTAAACGATAAAAGAAAAGAAAGAAAAAGTAAAGTAAACGAGAAAATGTGTGTTTACATTTCCACCAAATACATAGAACAAGTCAAGTCAAGTAAGTCAAATTATTTGTGGAAACAAGTCGAAATTGTTCAGCTAAATCTTATTTAGAAAGCTCATTTTATTCAAAGAAAACGAGTCTAACGATTTCGAATGAAAAGAGAACTTTTAGAAGCTTCTAGAGGCTATTTTTTTTTTAAAAATTCTATCATATACAACTTTAAGGGGAAGATTTGACAAAAAGAAAAACATGGAAAAGAGAGATTTTTCCATTGGTTTAACGAAAAGCGATTCCATTGGTTTCTTTCAATTTTCTGCGGTCATTGATACGCTTTTTATGTAAACGCACGATTTCTCGTGCACTCAAAACCCATTTTTCATGAATTTTTTTGAGAAAACACAGAATTAAGTGCGCTAGAAAGGTTGCGTTTACAGATTTGAGCAGAAAGAAGATTAAAGGCTGTAAAATTCTCTTTGAAAAGCTTTACTTAACGCTCTCTGGAGTAACGGGGATCAATTATTGTGATATCAATTATTAATCAATTATCAATCAATTATCAATCGAGTCAAAGGCTGTAACGAATCAAACGAGTCAAAGGCTGTACAATTCTCTTTGAAAAGCTTTACTTAACGCTCTCTGGAGTAACGGGGATCAATTATTGTGATAACAATTCTCAATCAATTCTCAATCAATTCTCAATCAATTCTCAATCAATTCTCAATCAATTCTCAATCAATTCTCAATTATTATTATTGTGGTATAATCGTTAGCACACTTGCCCGGTAATTTTATTCAAAGAAAACGAGTCGAAACATTTCGAATGAAAACAGAACTTCGAGAGGCTTCTAGAGGCTATTTTTTTCAAATTCTATGATAAACGACTTTAAGGGAAGGATTTGAAAAAGAAAAAACATGAAAAAGAGAGATTTTGTTCCACAAAATACGTAAACAAACAATTTAGATTTACGGAAAAAAAAAATTGGGAGAAGAAAAAGAAGATTTTAGATTTTAAAAGTTCAAAGTTTTTCAGACATCGTTTTTTTCTGGCCTAAGCAATGTGTTTAGGGATTTGGGGGGAAAAAAGAGAAAAGAAAATCGAATAAACGAAGAAAATGTGTGACGAAAAGCGATACCATTGGTTTCTTTCTATTTTCTGCGGTCATTGATGCGCTTTTTACGTAAACGCACGATTTCTCGTGCACTCGAAACCCATTTTTCATGAATTGTCTTGAGAAAACAAAGAATTAAGGTTGCGTTTACAGATTTGAGCGATGAATGGCAAGAAGTGTCAAGAAGAGTCATTGTATTAACTAGTAGAGTCATTGTACTAACTAGTAGAGCTAGAAAGGTTGCGTTTACAGATTTGAGCAGAAAGAAGATTAAAGGCTGTAAAAGGCTGTAAAGGCAAAGGCTTTTCAAAGTTTGAAAAGCTTTACTTAACGCCCTCTGGAGTAAGGGCGATTCAGGTCCGTTGTGGTGTAATGGTTGGCACCATTGCCCGGTAAGCGAAAGGTCTCTGGTTCGAGTCCCGGCACGACTTTTTGATCTATGTTAGTTTCAACGCGGGTTCACAATGGTGTACTTTATGTGCTCGCTTTTGTCAAACATAGTCTTCCTGGCACTCTTCCTAGTGTTCTTCTTCTTTCTTTCTTCTTCTTCTTCTCTCTTTCTTTCTTCTTCTTCTTCTCTCTTTCTTCTTCTTCTTCTCTTCTTGAACCCAATTTTCTTAACTTAACAAATATCTTAACATTTACAGCATAGATGAGCCGTGGTTTGAGGCGTTCTTCCCTCAACTTGTGATCTGGATCTGGAAAAGCTCAACAATCTTCTTTGTACAATCTCTAAAACTGGAATCTAAATACTCTCTACTTTTTAGAATGATTAAATCGAAGATTTTCGTCCCGAAATCGACTGTATATCTGTCTTTAAACGATTCGGTTTTCTTTTAAAATAAAACAACAAAAGAAATCAAACAAAGGAACTTTAGGTGGTAGTTTATTTCCCCAATTCCCAGCCAGTTTATTTCCCCCAATTCTCAGTCTCAGGTAGTTTATTTCCCCCAATTCTCACATCATTTTCTTCCCCAAAACCTTTAGCTTTTCAATAAGAAATTCTCGATTTTTTTTCTATTCAAAGAATACATAAATCTTGAATGCAAAAAAAGCGCGGTTGGATTGGATTTGGTGGGGGATTTAGCAAAGAGATCTATTCGTTTATTCTGTGAAAGATTCGTAGAAAGGATTGGGTGTCATTCATTAACATTGAAGAGAGATCAGATGGTGAGTGCGCTGGGCAAGAGAATGGGCGAATCGGAGAGGAGAGAGAAACATCTGGAGATCAGAGAGCATTTCTTGTTCAGCCATTTTGAAATACTAGCCTTTAACTAAACAGAATTTGATAATGGTTAGATAAATAGGCTCATGCACTTTCACAAATCATATTTAGATCTTTTTAAATAGAAATGACTGTGACTTTAAAAGTCTAGAGTTTGATGCGCTGGCCATTTTACCTTCCAATCAATCCACATCGGAGCTATCAGAATAAAAGCTTTCAGAACCTGATACCTAAGAAGCTATCAGATTCCCAGTTCATGAATAGTATTTCATTGTACGAGTGATTGTAGTAACTAGTAGAGCCATTGTACTAGTCATGACTAGTAATAGAGTCATTGTACTAACTAGTAGAGTCATGTACTAACTAGTACTAGTTAATACAATGACTCTATCTATTACTAAAGAAAGATGAGACTAAATTTTGTACTAACTAGTAGAGTGATTGTATTAACTAGTAGAGTGATTGTGTTAACTAGTAGAGTCATTGTACTAACTAGCAGAGCCATTGTAGTAACTAGTAGAGTCATTGTACTAGTCATGAGCAAAATTTAGCCTCATCTTTCTTTAGTTAACCTTAATATCGTGATTTGATGAGTGACTTTAAAGACTTAAAGACTTAAAACCTTTCTTTTCTTTTAATCTTTCACTCGTTCACGTAACTCTTAGCCACTTTAAAGCTGCTCCATCATGGCATCGGCAATGAAATTCACCTACTATACCCGGGTTGCCTCGAAAGATCAACCATCGAATGGGCATAAACCATTGGCACCGACAAAGTAAGTCGAACTTTTACGATTTGCTTTTTGAATCTAAAAAAATGGACAATAGATTGATATTGTTTTTACAAGAAAACAAAAATTAAACTTATTAGCTTATAAAAAGTAATATTATTGAACATTCTGTAGAATCAGCTTTGAACTTGTTCTTGAAAGCTTTCACTTGAACTTGTTCTTGAAAGCTTTCACTTCAACTTGTTCTTGAAAGCTTTCACTTCAACTTGTTCTTGAAAGCTTTCACTTCAACTTGTTCTTGAAAGCTTTCACTTCAACTTGTTGTTGAAAGCTTTCACTTCAACTTGTTCTTGAAAGCTTTCACTTCAACTTGTTCTTGAAAGCTTTCACTTCAACTTGTTGTTGAAAGCTTTCACTTCAACTTGTTGTTGAAAGCTTTCACTTCAACTTGTTGTTGAAAGCTTTCACTTCAACTTGTTGTTGAAAGCTTTCACTTCAACTTGTTGTTGAAAGCTTTCACTTCAACTTGTTGTTGAAAGCTTTCACTTCAACTTGTTGTTGAAAGCTTTCACTTCAACTTTCAACTGTTCCAGCTTGTTGTTGGAATAGCTTATTACTAGAAATATTAGATTCGAAAGAAAGTTCCCAGAAAAAGTTTGACTCGAATTTCTTCAAAGAACGAATCCACTAATTCAAGAACATTGTGTTGTTCACAGTTGTTTCTAGGTAAACAATAGCGCAAAAGGGAATAATTTTGAAATAAAAAGGCACTTAAAGTTGTTGTTGTTGTTAACATTGGGCGTATTGATAAATGTGTTTCCTTTTTAGCGTTAAACTTGTACAAAATGAGCTCTAAATCTAGTCTATCCCAATAAAATATTGAACATTCTGTAGAATCAGCTTTCAACTTGTTGTTGGAATGGCTTGTAAGCTTCTAAGTGCTTACTAGAAATATTAGATTCGAAAGAAAGTTCTCAGAAAAAGTTTGACTCGAATTTCTTCAAAAAACGAATCCACCAAGTCAAGAGCATTGTTGTTCTATTATTTACAAGTCGACTCCAAGAAATTACACATAAAAAAACAAATGAGTGTAGCTTTCCCTTAAAATTTTAGATTTTTATAAAATGATTATTCTCCAGCTTAAATTCAGATCCCTTTTTTGCATCAGAAAAACGAGATAAAGAGATAGATAAAGAGATAGATAAAGAGATAGACAAAGAGATAGATAAAGAGATAGATAAAGAGATATATAAAGAGATAGATAAAGAGATAGATAAAGAGATAGATAAAGAGATAGATAAAGAGATCGATAAAGAGATAGACAAAGAGATAGACAAAGAGATAGATAAAGAGATAGATAAAGAGATAGATAAAGAGATAGATAAAGTGATAGATATAGTGATAGATAAAGAGATAGATAAAGAGGTAGGCAAAGAGATAGATAAAGAGATAGACAAAGAGATCAAACTCCTGATGAGATAAAGCTAGTATAAATGAGCAAATACACTCTATAATCTCTATTTTTAGCCAACAAATTTTTTACAGAGAATCTGTATTTCAAAAAAATCATTTTTTCGTGTCATCTTCTCGGCATTTTGCTAAAATAGGTCGTTCTGAAAAGTTAAAGCATTTGATTCAATTTGCCTTTATCACAAATTTTCTCTTTTTTTACGTACTTTAGTTTTGGTTTCGAATGGGATCCATTGCCTATTCATTAACCCATTAAAACTTGTCTAAAAGGTTGGTCACTCAAAAAGTGATCAAATCACTTCAACTGAAGAAATCTCTTATTTTGTTTTTGTCAAAAACTTTTTGAAATATAGTCATGTTTCTGGCTCGGTTTTGGTTTTGGTTTTTGAGAAATCACCGTGCCAAACTTTTTCCGAGCAATAAAAAAAAGTCATTTTAAACCCGTTTTTAATGTTACCGTATTTTCCCTAATAGTAGTGCACCCAGAGCGTCGTCTAAATTCCTCGAAATCTCGAAAATCGCTTATCAGAACCTATCGATGTGAGGTTGGAAAATGTAGCTGACGATCAGATCTAGTGGGGGATTTGAGTGTTGAGCTTCTGCAAGAGCTTGGAAACCGTCAAATAGTCATCAACTCGGCTCGGCGGGGTGCACTACTAATAGAGAAAATACTAAGGTTTCTATTTAGCACTATTAGAAAGACTATCAGTTACGACTTAGTTTTACTGGGTTACGGTAGTTTAGCCACCATTTATTTCCCATCGTTTATCCGAGCACAAAATACACGCCCAGATTCAATAGATTCAATAGATTTTCTTCAAGTTTTCAAGGTGTCTAGCTATCATATATACCGTATTTTCTCTAATAATAGTGCACCCAGAGCGTCGCCTAAATTGCTCGAAATCTCGAGAACCGCTTATCAGAACCTATTGATGTGGGGTTGGAAAATGTAGCTGACGATCAGATCTAGCTGGTGATTAGAGTGCTGAGCTTCTGTGAAAACTTTTGAAGCCGTAAAATCGTCATCAACTCGGCTCGACCGGATGACGCTCTGGATGCACTTCTATTAGAGAAAATACGGTATTTTGCCAGAAAATAAAAAGTAATTGCCTTTTTTAATGAAATAAATCGTAGTTTAATTGGTGCATTTGTCTGATTTTAAATTGAGCTTTAATAAACCTAGCTCTCTGAATCATCTCGAGGATTTCAAGCGTCGCTTCCGTCGTAGCGGCTCGTTGGGAATCCCGTTTGTGCCCGAGCAAGATGCAAAGCAGTTAAAGGTGAACTGAATAAAGCTAGTTAATCAATTAATCTAGTTGATTTTTAATTCTTAAGTACATTTAGTTCATCATTTTATACCAATAGCCTGAATTAATTTTCTTCCAGAATACCGATGAAACAAGAGCCTTGGACGGTGGGACAAATGCTTTTTTTCCTTTTTTTTGCGCATCCGGCCAAAAGTCCACCTTTTTTTTCGCTGGAAAAGGCCGTAAAAGCATCAAAAATGCTTCCATATAAGGGAATCGTATGCTTGGATTCCGAATTTCGGCAAATCAGATCTCGCTGGTCGTCAAATTTGGCGCTTTTAGCCGGGTGCGCAAAAAAAAGCAAAAAAAAGCATTTTACCCACCCCCAGAGCCTTTGACTCTCTGGTTTTGCTACAAAAAAAGCTACAGTATGATCTATAAAACTAGCAACAAATTCTAGCGCTTTATAGAAAGAGCTCTCGATTCGTGAGGTGGACGAGGGTCAACCGGTGCTGACAGTGATCGTGAAAACGCCAAAAAATCCGAAAGCAATCGCTGCAATGCTTGCCACAATGCCGGTAAATGATTTTAAAGTATTAGTATATTGTTTTATTTGAGATTGAGTCTTATCAAGTTCTCAAATGATTCTCAAATTTCAGGATGATGTCTCGGTGAAGCATATTGAAACACGAGACGCGAAAGAGAATCAAGTATGTTGTATGAAAGATTAGGATGAGATTTGAAAGATTAGGATGAGATCAAAATATAGAATTTATAGAATTTAAATGCTATAGAAGATTTAAAGTAATTAGTGTAGGTAAATAGCTCTTTTACAGAACACTTTGGACACTTTGATAGAGTTGGAGTTGGACTATGGGATGGACAGTGAGCAGGCGATGAAATTGATGCGTTTGAATGGGTTGAATGTGAGGGATTCGATCTTCTATCAAAAATTAGATCAAATTTTTTGATATTTCAAATGTTAGGTGAACGAGGTTTCGTTCTCGATTCAACCCCCACAAACCGTCAACGAGAAACTCGTTGAACCTGGCTCGAATGGTGAGTTGGTGAAAGCTGACAAATCAAATTCAAAGAAAAAGAAAGATTAAACAAAATTTGTTTGCTTGAAGGCTTGAAGGCTTGAATGATTAGATCATTAAAAAGATTAGATATCTTTTCTCTAATAGTAGTGCACCCGATCGAGCCGAGTTGATGACTATTTGACGGTTTCTAAGTTTTCACAGAAGCTTAACACTCTAATCCCCCACTAGATCTCATTGTCAGCTACATTTGCTAGCACCTAGCAAAGCTGCAACCCCAGCAAAGCTGCAACTTTAAGAGCAAATATCTTCTCTAATAGTAGTGCACCCGGTCGAGCCGAGTTGTTGACTATTTTACGGTTTCCAAGTTTTCACAGAAGCTCAACACTCAAATCACCAGCTAGATCTCATCGTCAGCTACATTTTCCCACCCCACATCGATAGGTTATGATAAGCGGTTCTCGAGATTTCGAGGAATTTAGACGAAGCTCTGGGTGTACTACTATTAGAGAGAATACGGTAATCAGGTATAGAAATTTAAAGTCTATGACGAAACTTTGAAAATTCGTTTGTTGAAAGGAAAAGATACTTCTAACAATTCAGAAAATAATTAATGTATTGCTATAATCCCCAAAATTAACAATAATATTAAAGATGCAACCCAGCAAAGCTGCAACTTTAAGAGCAAATGTTCTCTCTAATAGTAGTGCACCCCGGTCGAGCCGAGTTGGTGACTATTTAACGGTTTCCAAGTTTTCACAAAAGCTCAACACTCAAATCCCCCACTAGTCCCTCAAATCCTCAAATCCCCACAAATCCCTCATCGCCAGCTACATTTTCTGACCCCACATCGATGGGTTCTGATAAGCGCCTTTCGAGATTTCGAGGAATTTAGGTGACGCTCCGGGTGCACTACTATTAGAGAAAATACGGTATATGCTTTATTCAGTTGAATAGCGTCAAAACAAGATCACAATAATCACCCAGGACACCACTCAAAATACACCGAAAAAGATGAAAAGATAAAAAGATACCTCAAGCTAAAAGATAAAAAGATACCAATCACAGAGCGGTGAAATCAATTGCCAAGATTCCAACACGGTTCCAATACAGTTCCAATACGGTTCCTATTTTGTTCTAATACGGTTCCAATAACCAGTGATTGCATATTCGGCTTTAAATCTAGCCAAGGTGAGAATATCACGAACGAGTTATTAAATAGTGGGGGTAACGAGTTATTAAATTGTGGGGGTAACGAGTTATTAAATAGTGGGGGTAACGAGTTATTAAATTGTGGGGGTAACGAGTTATTAAATTGTGAAACACAATGTGAAACACAATTTAATAACTCGATTAAAAAAGAAACTTAGAAGAAGATTTAATTTTCAAATTTTAAGAATAATATCGATTTTCAATCGGATATGAAATGAAAAGATTTGAAAAAATGAAAAAAATGAAAAAAATGAGCGTATAAAAACTTGAATAATTAATTCATTTGGTAAGAATAAGGTGAGTGATTTTTTTAAAATGCAATTATATTCGGAAAAACTGAAAAACATTTTCAGATGCAATCACTGGTTGCGAGTGGTTTCCAAAACACATCAAGGACCTAGATATTTGTGCAAAACGAGTGATCATGTATGGAGCTGGACTGGACGCTGATCATCCAGTGAGATTCGAAAATCTTCGACAAAAGTCTTAGAGAATCAAGCGAAAAAGCTCTTAAGTCAAATTTCATTGACCAACCGTATAAAGTATATGGAGCTGGGTTGTTGAGTAGTGCTGGGGAGTTGCAGGTAAACTTTTTGAGACAATTAAGAACGACGATCTTGATGACCTTGACGATCTTGATGACCTTGACGATCTTGATGACCTTGACGATCTTGATGACCTTGACGATCTTGATGACCTTGACGATCTTGATGATCTTGACGATCTTGATGATCTTGACGATCTTGATGACCTTGACGATCTTGATTTTATTGTATTCTTTATAATTCTAATAATGAGCTTAAGCGCTTGAGAAGCGGATCGTAGTCGCGCGTAGTCGAATTCAACAAATTCAAATTTTTACTGCTATTTGAGTGGAACATTCGCTTAATGGGATGCAGTATTTGTAGAAAAAGTAAAGCCAAATTTGAGGGAAAACTTGATTTGAAGAATTTGGGCATAGTGATGCTGAAACCGGTTAGTGAAATGAGCGATGACCGAAACCGGTTGGTGAAACGAGCGATGAGCCACTAACCGGTGAAACTAACCGGTTTCGGCATCACGACGCACACCACTAACCGGTGAAACCGCTCATCGATCTTTCCCTTTTATTCATTCCAAAAGAGAATAGCTATCTATCGACGATGTGTGCCAGACGGCTAGCGATTACGAGGCCACACAAAGAACACCCGGCTAGTCATTTACAAGGATTTCTTTTGCTCTGTAAACGTTGCCCAGAAAAGATATTCAGCTGTAAATTTGTACCCAAGGGTTTTCGGGATCGGCGAATCGATTGAAGCTATTCATTTCATTGATCTATTAATCTTCTAGCAATCTTTCTATCAAAGTCTATCAATCTTTAGACAAGTTAAATCTATAAATCTCTAGACCTTGTCTGTTATCTGGCGTTTTTAAACAACTAGATACAATCTTTATAGATAAAGATTGTATCTAGTTGTTTAAAAACGCCTTTTATAGCAAGCTAAAGCACAAAAATAGATAGTAAAATTAAGTTTTAAACTTAAATCTTTAAATATTTCAGGGTTTCAAAGATCAAGATTATCGCCGGCGACGACTGATGTTCGCTGAGGTGGCGATGGAGCATAAGCAGTGAGTGGAGATTTGGAATATTTTCAGATTTATGTATCTAGGGGTTTAAGCTATCTAGGGGTTTAAGCTGTAGCAAGCTATTGAATGCTTTTGTTCACTAATTGAAGGAATAGGCTGAAATTGCAGCGGTGAGGCGATTCCCCGGATCGAGTACACAGAAAGCGAGAGAAAAACATGGGGAGTCATCTATAGAAAACTTCGAGAACTACATAAAAAGTTTGTAAATAAGTTAGAAGTTTATTCTCTAATTTCTAAAGATCTAAAGATCTAAAAATTGGTTTTGGCCTTATAAAAGCAAGTTCAGATACGCATGTCAAGAGTTCTTGGATAATTTCGAACTTCTGGAACGTCATTGTGGTTACTCGGAGAACAACGTGCCCCAACTCGAAGATATAAGCAAATTTTTGAGGGGTAAAGATTATTGTAGAAAGAATATTGTAGAAAGGTTATTGTAGAAGGATTATTGTAGAAGGATCATTGTAGAAAGGTTATTGTAGAAGGATTATTGTAGAAAGGTTATTGTAGAAAGATCATTGTAGAAGAATATTGTGAAGAATAGAGAAGATTGTGGAATATTGTAGAAGGATCATTGTAGAAAGGTTATTGTAGAAAGGTTATTGTAGAAAGGTTATTGTAGAAGGTTATTGTAGAAAGGTTATTGTAGAAGGATTATTGTAGAAAGATTATTGTAGAAGTTATTGTGATCATTGTAGAAGTATTGTAGAAAGGTTATTGTAGAAGGATTATTGTAGAAGGTTATTGTAGAAGGATTATTGTAGAAGGATTATTGTATTTCGTTGAATATCTAATTGTTTATGTGATCTAAATATCAAGTTTTTTTAGCTAAAACAGGTTTCCGAGTAAGACCAGTGGCTGGGTATCTCTCGGCTCGGGATTTTCTGGCTGGTTTAGCGTATCGTGTTTTCTTTTGTACTCAATATGTGCGACATCATGCTGATCCATTTTATACGCCTGAACCGTGGGTTTATGTAATCTAATATTTCTTCTATTCTTTCATTTTAGATGAAAGATTTAAGTTTTAACCTAGAGCTTTAGCCTAGAGCTTTAGCCTAGAGCTTTAGCCTAGAGCTTTAGCCTAGAGCTTTAGCCTAGAGCTTTAGCCTAGAGCTTTAGCCTAGAGCTTTAGCCTAGAGCTTTAGCCTAGAGCTTTAGCCTAGAGCTTTAGCCTAGAGCTTCATAAAAATTACACTCATATGAAGAATTCCGCATAGGCTCTAGCTTTAACCTAGAGTTTAACCTAGAGCTTTAACACTTGCAAAAGTCAGATGGCCAAGCCCTGTCAGCAGTTTTATTCTAGCCTAATCTAGCCTAATCTAGTCACGAGATTTGGCTAGCCTAAACCCTAGCCAAATCCACTTGTTCAGCATTTACCAAAGATACACTGTGATGCAAAACTCTTGTCCCACTTATTTTTCTGAAACATTTTGTCAAAATTCTCGGTTTTCCTTTATCTAAAATCACTGCTTGAATAGGCATTGAATCGACCAAATCAATCAAATCGTAGAATTCCCGAAGAAGAAATTTGTTGCCAAACGTTTCTGATAAAGAACCAAAGCTCGACCTTTTTGTTGAATATCTTGCTCTTGAGTTTAGTCTTTAAATGGGCTTAAAGATGCTCTATAAGATTCAAATCTGGCGAATAAGGAGGCACATTGATCAATTTTACACGACAAGCAGCAAAAACGCCGGGTAGGAGAGCTCTTCCTTCATTTGCAAGTCGGACAACTCGGCCAATCATTAGCTGGCTTTTGTGGCATGGAGCGTTGTCTTTATATAAGGCCCGTGTTCGTGTTTGCAAATGGAAGTAAGTTGTTCTCTATGATTGATTTGTACCTTTGAGCATCGAGATTTCTATTGATAAACACCAGCGGTCCCGATAAACTTTGTGTAAAGAACCAAAGCTCGACCTTTTTGTTGAATATCTTGCCCCTGAGTTTAGTCTTTAAATGGGCTCAAAAATGCTCTATAAGATTCAAATCTGGCGAATAAGCAGGCACTTTGAATAAGGTGACCGGGCTTTGGTCTGTGCCTAATCTGACTTTGACCTATGACCTGACCCGATACAGAAAACTGCATTTTAAACAACTTAGTCATTTACTTAGCACATAGGCCCATACATCAAATGTACTTAAAACGTAAATTGCAATCGATATAGGTAGTTGGAAATTTAGAGACACCGTTCACGAGTTGATGGGTCACATGGCTTTGTTCGCCGATCCGGACTTTGCGCAATTCAGTCACGAGATCGGTTTAGCTTCACTGGGAGCCTCGGAGGATGATCTCAACAAATTGGCTACGGTAAAAGGAAAATGTCTTCAGAAATGTTTTTTTTTTCAGTTGTATTTCTTCTCGATTGAGTTTGGTTTATCGTGCGACTCGCACACGGACACAATCGACACGACTGGCAAAGAGAATCACAAGAAACAACCATATAAAGTATATGGAGCTGGGTTGTTGAGTAGTGCTGGGGAGTTGCAGGTAAACTTTTTGAGTCAATTAAGAACGATGATCTTGATGATCTTGATGACCTTGACGATCTTGATGATCTTGACGATCTTGATGATCTTGACGATCTTGATGATCTTGATGATCTTGATGATCTTGATGATCTTGATAATCTTGATGATCTTGATAATCTTGATGATCTTGATGTTCCTGATTTTATTCTATTCTTTATAATTCTAATAATGAGCTTAAGCGCTTGAGAAACGAATCTTACTCGCGCGTAGTCGAATTTTTTCTGATCTGACGTGGTTTTACTGCAGAATAGACATAGCCACTACAAACTACAAACGCTTCTAACTTGATTCAAATCTACCGCATTCACACGATCTATAGCTCAAAAATAGAGAATTTCAAGAGCTTTTGAATGGACTAAAGCACACTCGAAAATATCAACGCTAAAGAAAGTTACAGTGATTTGACTCAAAACGGACCATACTCGCGCGTAGTCGATGCTATCTATTCAGGCTGTATTGACATTTTTCAGTGTGCTTTAGTCCATTCAAAAGCTCTTGAGATTCTCTATTTTTTGAGCTATAGATCGTGTCAATGCGTTAGATTTGAGCCAAGTTAGAAGCGCTTGTAGTGCCCATCTCTTAAAGGTTATAGGTATAAAATCAAGATCCCCATTTCTAGCATGCCATCGAGGGTGAGCCAACCGTACTCCGTTTTGATCCAGATCGAGTCGTTCAACAGGAATGCCTCATCACAACTTTTCAAACCGCTTATTTCTATACGAGAAATTTTGAAGAAGCTCAGCAAAAACTGAGGTAAAATAGTGATTAGGTAAATAGTGATTAGGTAAAATAGTGATTAGGTAAAATAGTGATTAGGTGAATAATGATTGGGTAAATAGTGATTAGGTAAAATAGTGATTAGGTAAAATAGTGATTAGGTAAAATAGTGATTAGGTAAAATAGTGATTAGGTGAATAATGATTAGAGTGTGCGCCTCGTGACTGACTGTAAATAGTTTTAAATCAAAAACCAAAAAGAATATTTAGCAAGAATGTCAGAAAAGATGCGAACATCTGCAAATGTTGAATGAAAAGTTTGAATTTGCATCTAAATGAATTTACATAATGGTAGTCTTTTTAAAGCGTCCGCTTTAACAATCACAAGGAACACACTAAGAGTAAGAGATTACGCAAGACTACTCTCTAACTAAGAGTAATCTTGCGGTAAACTTACAAATTCTGTGGTTCATGCAAATGTTTATAGATTCTGCTGAACGAAGAACTCAAGAAAGAATTTTTAGAATGTTCACGAACAATATGAAGCGACCTTTTGTCGTGCGTTACAATGCTTACACGGAGAGCGTTGAGGTTTGTTTTACTCTTGAAACCATTTGCAAACTTTTTCCGTCGAATGACCAGGACAGGAGTTGTCCAGGCCAGCCAACATGAGTCTAGACTGGAAATTTGATGTGAATCATGACTCTAAAACATGTCAAAACTACCGTAACCTCGTGCCAGTCTAACTCTATATCCAAAGCTACGATAGATCTATCGCTTATCTATCTTTATTATTAAGCTAAAGCTCTTCAGCTAAAGCTCTTCAGCTAAAGCCATTAAGCCAAAGCCATTCAGCCAAAGCCATTAAGCCAAAGCCATTAAGCCAAAGCCATTAAGCCAAAGCCATTAAGCCAAAGCCATTAAGCCAAAGCCATTAAGCCAAAGCCATTAAGCTAAAGCTATCTTTTCCTACCTACCAACCATCTCCTTTGTGACTAGCATCTATATTGGTTACTGGTTACGGTTACGCTTAAAAGCTATCCGAGTCGAAAAAGACTACATTATGACGCCACTGAACTTTCTCTACTTTTAAATGCAAATTGAATTCACACCGGGTTACAGTAGTCGAGTTAAAGAGCGTCCACCAAACAAGAAACTTCTAGGTGTTGAACAATCAACGCTCGCTGATGTTGGCGGTGAACTCTCTGAGAAGTGATATCAATCTATTGGCCAGTGCTCTCCACTATACACTTTGATTTTTTTTAAATTTTCCATTTCATCTAATTCTGTAGCAAATTTTAGCTAAAAAAAAATCTTTTATCTAGCAATAAAAATGTGAAAAAAACCTTTTTAAACATCAATTTTATGGCAAATGAGATGAAAACAAAAAAATAGACAAGATTTGGCTTCAACAACGTCGATTAATCGAGTAAAAATTACTCATGCAAATTTGACTCGAGTAATTACGCACTCACGAGGAACACACTCTACTGCCAAGTGGTTGGCACCGCTAAACTTCAAAGTACTATAAAAAGCATAACACTGTGTTTCTGAATTAAGATTTTACAAGACAAGATTTTACAGGATTTCTTGAACACGTTTAGTTTCTTGGGAAAGTTGGATCTGTTGGATCTACTTCTACTAAAATTTCTTTTGATTTCTTTTGATTTCTTTTGGTTTTGCACTTTGATCTAAACATATTTCTAGTTTCTCTTTTTAGAAATAGATGTATTTTTAATAAAAGTTTTATCCAACCATCCAAGCAAAAGTTTTATCCAACCAGTCAGCTGGATAAAACCAAAAGTTTTATTTAACCAGTCAGCTGGATAAAACCAAAAGTTTTATTTAACCAGTCAGCTGGATAAAACCAAAAGTTTTATTTAACCAGTCAGCTGGATAAAACCAAAAGTTTTATCCAACCAGTCAGCTGGATAAAACCAAAAGTTTTATCCAACCAGTCAGCTGGATAAAACCAAAAGTTTTATCCAACCAGTCAGCTGGATAAAACCAAAACTTTTATCCAGCTGACTAATAAGGGTTAATCCATCGGGGGAAAATCGGAAAATCGGAAAATTTCCCACAAAAAAACCATTATTGTATCGATTTTGAAATGCGCAAAGAGGCAATATTCTTTCTATTTTTATTATTTCTAGTAATTTGCTATTCAAAGCCACTTAATTTTGATTCAAATAAAGATTTGAATGCTGCTGTTCTTGTCGAGAGCGTAGCAATTGTTGACGATGGAGTGACGTCGGCTGTCTATTATACTTCAACCGAACTTGAGAGGTTGTTTTTTTTGGTTTTTTTGGTTTTTATTTCAAATTTAAACTGTTCTTTGCTATTTAAACATAATCTAATTTTAAATTTAAAGTTATGAACCGGACGATTATGTGGAAGGGCCAGTTCAGGAGATTGTTGTTCACGATTCTTACATAAAGATTGAATAAGTGCCACTGGTCAAAATTCGATCTCTTTTTTCGATTTCTGTATGGAATTTCTTGAAAGCCTATTGTAGTTACTTGTTGGTAACTTTTTATTGGTTATTGGTTATTGGTAACTTGTTGGTAACTTCTTGCTAACTCTATTGGTTATTGATAACTTCTTGCTAACTCTATTGGTTATTGGCAACTCTATTGGTTATTGGTAACTTGTTGGTAACTCTATTGGTTATTGGTAACTTCTTGCTAACTCTATTGATAATTGGTAACTTCTTGGTAACAACAAGTTACCTACCAATATCATTTTTGCTTTTGCTTTGCATATATCGTTTCTTGAGTAAATTATTAAACATTTTGCGACATAATGCGAAAAAAAACTGACTAGAAAGATAGTAAAAAGCAACTCAAGCAACAAAGCAGCAAATTTAGATCATCAACTAAACAAGAATTTCTGTGTTTTATAGACTGTGTTTTATAGACTGTGTTTTATAGACTGTGTTTTATAGACTGTGTTTTATAGACTGTGTTTTATAGACTGTGTTTTATAGATTTTGTTTTATAGATTTTGTTTTATAGATTTTGTTTTATAGATTTTGTTTTATAGATTTTGTTTTATAGATTTTGTTCTATAGATTTTGTTCTATAGATTTTGTTCTATAGATTTTGTTCTATAGATTTTGTTCTATAGATTTTGTTCTATAGATTTTGTTCTATAGATTTTGTTCTATAGATTGTGTTCTATAGATTGTGTTCTATAGATTGTGTTCTATAGATTGTATTCTATAGATTGTGTTCTATAGATTGTGTTCTATAGATTGTGTTCTATAGATTGTGTTCTATAGATTGTGTTCTATAGATTGTGTTCTATAGATTGTGTTCTATAGATTGTATTCTATAGATTGTATTCTATAGATTGTATTCTATAGATTGTATTCTATAGATTGTGTTCTATAGATTGTATTCTATAGATTGTGGCTGGTGTTTAGGTTAAACTCAACTTTCATTCACATTCACATTCACAGCCACATTCACAGCCAACATGCAAAGATCCTCGCGATCAAGCGTCGAGATTTGTTTTTATCGATGAAGCCAGTTGAAAACTTTGATATTCTTTATCAAAAATCAAAAATTCTTTATTTTATCGAATTCTGTATGAAATTTTAGCTAAAAATTCTTTATTTATTAATAAAAATATCACAAAAATCTTTGAAAATACCCAGTTTTTCCGTTAAATTTTATGGCAAATGAGGTGGAAAATGAAAGAAAATGAAAGAAAATGAAAGAAAATGAAAGAAAATGAAAGAAAATGAAAGAAAATGAAAGAAACAAAAAAAAAAAAAATAGACAAGAATTTGGCTTGAACAATGCAAAATCTTCAGCTTCAGTACTTAGTTTTTCAAATTTTTCTGTCTTTTTCGTCTATTTCGATAGTGGCGAGCGGCATTGATTTGACATTGAGCCGCTTCTTCGCTCAGTTTTTGCTTGTCTTGACGAATTTTGGTGGCCAACGCCGAGGTGTCAGTCATAGAGCGACAACTGGAAAGGGGAAAGGTTATGGTTAAGGGTTTATGGTGAACTTTTAGGCGAAAAATTGTACAACTACCTTTTCTGGTGCACTTGATTTTGGCTATTATTTATTCTAGTATGTATTTTGTGCTTGGAAATCCAAAAGAATCCTCTCTGGTGGACGTAAATCTTTCATTTTTCGTTCTTCAGTTTCAACAATGAGAAATAAAAAGAAACCGATTTGCCAGAAAGAGTTTTTTTATGTTTTTCTAGTGAATCTAAGATCTTTCTAAGAATCAATGTAATTTAAAAAATTAGAATAAGAATTTAAGCATGTATTCACTCAATTTAGACAAAAATTCACTCGATTTAGACAAAGACAAAGACAAAGACAAAGACAACGATTTAGACAAATCATTGTAACTTCTGAATCCTCTAGTTTATCGATTTTCCATTTTGACTTATAATTTGACTTACTTTGAACTTTCAATGAATCCTTTAAACATTCTAATCTCTGTTTTTGCTTCGTTTACCTTCCAACTTCTGGGCAACAATCGGCAAATTTCTCGCAAAGACGTTTCATTTGACCCAAACGCTTTGGGCAAGTTGGATCGAGTTTAGGAAGTGATGGGAGAGTCGAGGAACAAGTCGATGATCGATCATTCTGTAATAGACTTTGATCTTCAAAAAATAAACGATTATTGCTAAATAAACGATTATTACTAAATAAACGATTATTGTTAAATAAACGATTATTGCTAAATAAACGATTATTTTAATAATCTTGCTAAAGTTTCTAGCTTAGTTATTTACCCATATCCGAGCCTCTTTTCGCCTCGCGATTTCCCCTTGGAGACAATCGATGAAATTTGACTCGAGCTCGCGAATTGATAGATCCAATTGCTGAAAAATAATAAGATTTAAGATTATGGATTCTTTTTTTGAATAGTACTTGATATTTAGGTATCATTTTCTGGTTGCATTCGCCGATTCGGCGTCCCGGGAGTCCGGGCAAAAGTCGACCCGAATCGGGGAGACAATCGTCTTCCTAAATATCTAGAGTTATCGATTTTCTAAAGTTTGTTAAAGCTACCGTAAACTTGTTTAGATTTCAATTTTCTTTATTTTTAGCAAACCTGTAGATGCATTTCGTCAAGGCAAACCGAATAGAGATCGCAAGGGGATAGTGATGGGTACTAAATTCTCTTCTGATTTGTTAAGAGTCACAAAGTTTATTTCTATTTTAAACTCTATGAAAGCTATGAAAGTTATGAAGTCTAAGAAAGTCTATAAAAGTCTATAAAAGTCTATGAAAGTATGAAAGCTATGAAAGTCTATAAAAGTCTATGAAAGCTAAGAAAGTTATGAAGTCTAAGAGTGTCTATGAAAGTCTATAAAAGTCTATAAAAGCCAAAACTCTAGCAGTAATATCAATGAACTTGTAAACTGAAGGTAAAACTGGTAGAGTACTTACTAGGCAGAGGTTCAAGTAGAATTTGAAACCGCTTTCATGACTAGAGTGTGTTCTTCGCGAGTAATGCGTTTTTTAAAACGCACACTTGAAAAAAAATTACCGTACTTTTAGCAAAAATTATTGCAAAAAAATGGGGGTGAGACAAATGCCACCTTTTTTTTGCGCACCTGGACATTTGCGCACCTTTTTTTTGCTGGAAAAGGCTTTAGGCAAGGCCGTAGAGCTTCGAAAATATTTCCATATAAGGGAATCGTATGCGTAGATTCCGAATTTCGACAAATCAAAGCAAATCAGACCTCGCTGACACGTCAAATTTGGGCTAAAAGGCAAAAACTGCGGAAAAGCGTTAAGTTGCGTAGTTTTTGCCTTTTAGCCCAAATTTGACGTGTCAGCGAGGTCTGATTTGTCGAAATTCGGAATCTACGCATACGATTCCCTTATATGGAAATATTTTCGAAGCTCTACGGCCTTGCCTAAGGCCTTTTCCAGCAAAAAAAAAAGGTCGCATTTGTCCCACCCCCAAAAAAATGACGCAAAAATGACGAGCCCCGCATTATATACGACACTTTTTAAAGATAAAAGATACTCAGCCGTTTAACTGATTTGGTGGGAAATTCCCTTCCAATGCAAAAACTGAATTTTTTTTGAAAAACCGGGGTAGGCTAGTTTGCGCCAAATTTTTTGCGCAACAGGGTCATTTGCGCAACTGGGTCGTTTGCGCAACTCGCCATAACTTTCTTCTAGGTAAGCCAATCTTTATGATTTTGGTGTCATTTTGTTACACTTGTTGAGATCTACGAAATGACACCAAAATCCTAAAGATTGGCTTACTTAGAAGAAAGTTATGGCGAGCTGCGCAAACGACCCAGTTGCGCAAAAAAATTTGGCGCAAAGTAGCCTATCCCAAAACCTGCGCAAAAAATTGCTTTTATATTTTTTTTCGCGCAGGCGCACTTTTTAGAAAACGCATTACTCGACAATTACTCATGCAAATTTACTCGAGTAATTACTTACTTAATCACGAGGAACACACACTAGTCATGACTTTAGAAAAGTATCTAATGTATTAAATGAGTCTGCTAAACAGTCATTGTTAAGCTAAATCATTTGAATTTCCACAATTTGTGGAGATATAGTGGGAGTCTTAAAAAGTCATAACTTCTTCATTAAATCATAAAAGCTTGACCGCATACCCTTTTCGGATCGATGAGTATTCGCATTCGTTTCTCGCTTTCGATCAACCCGTTCACAATTGGGGAATAGTCTCTAAAAATTGGGAAATTCTCAAAAAAAACAAAATTTTCTACATTTTCTCCTTTGTTTGCGCTTTTTTTTCAACGATTTTCGTTCTGAAATTTGAAATTTTCGATTTAAAACTGAAATTTGCTTTATTTTACCTCTTCAAAGCTTCTTTTGAGTCTGGATTTTCGTTTTGAATCTAAATTTTTCAATTTTTCTAAATAAATCTTAAAAATAACGATAGTTTGATATAAATTTTATAGTCAGATAAATCTTTTTTTTAAAAGTTTAATTTTTAAGTTTCCTTACCTCTCGATCCTTTTCGATTTTCAGCGCAGAGACACGGATTTTCGTTCGGAAAAGCGGCAATTTTATGGGGTTATTCTAGAAAATTTATGGATAATTTTATTATTGAAAATATAGATAATAAATTGATTAATATATTGTAAAATATGAAATAGTAAAAAATTTTGAAACAATGCTGAAGGAGCAATGCTGAACGAGCAATGCTGAAGGAGCAATGCTGAAGGAGCAATGCTGAAGGAGCAATGCTGAAGGAGCAATGCTGAAGGAGCAATGCTGAGGGAGCAATGCTGAAGGAGCAATGCTGAACGAGCAATGCTGAAGGAGCAATGCTGAAGGAGCAATGCTGAAGGAGCAATGCTGAAGGAGCAATGCTGAAGGAGCAATGCTGAGGGAGCAATGCTGAGGGAGCAATGCTGAATAGACATGTCCATTTTCGAGTTTTGGCGGCCGGGTCGGGTCAGCGGGTCCTCCGGGAAAAAAGCCGGGTTGCGGGTCGGGTCAGCGGGTCCTCCGGGAAAAAAGCCGGGTTGCGGGTCGGGTCAGCGGGTCCTCCGGGAAAAAAGCCGGGTTGCGGGTCGGGTCAGCGGGTCCTCCGGGAAAAAAGCCGGGTTGCGGGTCGGGTCAGCGGGTCCTCCGGGAAAAAAGCCGGGTTGCGGGTCGGGTCAGCGGGTCCTCCGGGAAAAAGCCGGGTTGCGGGTCGGGTCAGCGGGTCCTCCGGGAAAAAAGCCGGGTTGCGGGTCGGGTCAGCGGGTCACTTTTGACCCGACCCGACCCGCTGCCCATGTCTAATGCTGAACGCAATGCTGAACGAGCAATGCTGAAGGAGTGCTCACACTTTAAAGGTCAATAACTTTCTTTAGAGTTTGTATTAATGTATAGTTTTTGTTATTATTTGACTACTATTACTATTTTACTTTTTGTATAGTATTATTTAGTTAGATAGTTAAAGCTTTCGAATGACATATTTCAATTCGAATAAAAATTCGATTACCCAACCAATGCAGAGATCAAAGGAAACTCTGCCGTTTTGGTTCTCTAAATAATCTAATCAACCTCTATATCATTTAAAAGCTAAATGATAGCATTTAAAAACTTCTCGATAAAAACTACAAAAGCTAATGCTAATATAATCTCTAAACAAGGTTATTGTCTTTTAAAGGATTCCCGAATAGCCACTAGAGGCATTTTTTTTGTCAAATACCTCTACTTGTAGTGATTGAATCGGTGACACAAGAACAAGCGCCTCTTTTTTCTGATCTAAAAACATCATTAAATAAATAATTCTTTAAATAAATAATACTTTAAATAAATAATAATTATAGTATCTTTTAATTAAAAACTTAAATCCATTTTGAGGAATTCGTCTTCGAAAAGGTATCTATTTTTAGAAAAACTACCGTAATCCCATGACCAAATAAATCATAGAATAGATTTCGAGCCAAAAATTCAGTTTCCCTTAATCATTTACCCTAGATTGAAAGTTTTTAGTATATTATACCGTATTTTATATATTATATTATACCGTATAAGTATTTTTTTCGCATAAGAAAGATGGCTTTACGAAAGTGGATGTAATTTGAACTATTAATCGGGTCTGTGAGTTTGAAAATTTGAAATTTTCACCGAATTTCTTTGCCTTCTTTGCCTTCTTTCCCCCGCGTCGCCTCGTCCTCTTTCTTCCCTTTTTCACGATCGATTTCCCCCAATGTTTCGAGAATTTTTTAGCTAAAACATATATTAAATAAATAAATAAATAAATAAATAAATAAATAAATAAATAAATAAATAAATAAATAAATAAATAAATAAATAAATAAATAAAAATAAATATAATCATAATAGCTTAATTTCAAATTTATTTTAGTAAACTTGTCAAAATTTCTTCAAAACCCAACCTTTCTCGATCTTTTTTGTGCCTCCATTTTTGACATTTCGTACGAATTTGATCTCATTTTCCACCAAAAATGGCTCAGCTTTTCTAGAATTTGTAAAAATTTGATTTTCAATTGTTTTTTCAAAACTTTTCCACTTCTGGAGTCTTTCCGGCGGATAAGTGCCTAAAAATTTTTAGTTTTAAATAAATTTTAAGCAACAACTTCAAGCTTTTAATCGAGTCGACAACGAGAGAAATTGTGGATCTGAAAATTTGAATAATTTAAGCTTAAAATAATGTACTTGGTTGATGGCTTCAGCTCTGAACTTTCATCGATGTGCAGATATTTTCGGTGATGATAGAGAGCGGTGATTAGAGGAGGAAGATGAGTGCTGAAAGGATTTGCTTGGAAAAAAAGGCAACGATTTTCTTGACCAGGTCAAGCCAGGATTAGATCTGGAGTAGGACCAGGCCAGGCACGGGTCAACCAGAACTGGTATCATTTTGCTGGACCAGTGATACGAGTCTGATCTGGCTTGACCTTGTCAACTGACCCTTGAGCAAGCTTGACAATCCACACTTAGCAAGAAGAACTTCACCAACTTGAAGTACCCAGCTACAGTACTTCAACTATTGTTGATAAAATTACAATAGTTGAAGCTAGTCAATTGTAGGTTAGAATCTAAAAAAACCCCAGAAAATGCAGTAAAGAAACCGACGAAGTCCGAAAGACCGAAGTCAAAGTTAGGTCTGGTTCAATGGGTCAAAGCTTTGAATAGTCTTGAACACTCATTCTTATGCACTAAACTATGAATCAAGTTCAAAATAAAGCCTACCTTTTAGTTCTAGTTGTAGTAGTGGTTGTCGTTGTTGTCGATGTTGTTGTCGATGTTGTCACAATCAATCTCTGTTCATCAGAATCCTCTTTCGTTTGATCGTTGATCTCCGGTGATATATTCTCAAACTCGATGCTTGTCTGATAATGAGGTGACTCAAAGTAATCACTGAAAATGAAAACAAGACTTTCAACAAAATCAAAAGCTCAAAAAAACCTGTCGACAAAATTCTTCTCGTCAAAGCTGTTTCGTGGGGCGAATGGTCTAAAAATTGTTGCTTTAAAAATTGCTTTAAAACAATCGTAATCCGCTACATCAAATCAGGCTAATTTTATTATCATTCGATGAGGAATCACAAGACTTAGTTAATGAGATAAAAATTTGATTGATCGAATGGATTACTAGTAGTGGACTACAATAGTTTTAAAAAACGCATCTGTACAGAGTACAGATTGCTAAGAATTCTAAATCTTCTCCACACTTTGAATCAAGATCGGGCAGCGGTAATGCCTGGCTCCCATCACCGAACGGTTCCAGCGTCTCTTTCGGGAGTTTCTGCAGTTTTGCCACCTCGACATCGATGAGCGTTGGTTCGATGGGCGTTGATTGGATTTTCTAAATCTTATTGTAAGACGAAGATCCCGTAATCCTAGAATTCTATCCAACTATAGCATTATTTTACCTTTCGATAGACTCGTATCTCGGGCACCTCCTCGATCGACATGTTCAATGATTTGAGCTTTTGGAAGTAGGGCTGAAAAGTTTGGATAATTGGATAAGACTATATATTTACTATCTAAATTGAATATCTAAATTGAATATCTAATTGAATATCTGATTGAATATTTAATTGAATAACGTTTAAAGTACCTTGAAATACGTAGAGACAGCTCTAGAGACAGTATTTTTGTGCCAGACAAGTTTCGGGACTGAACCACCGTTGTGTGAATCGAAACTGTTGAATCTCTCGCTAAGCCATGGTGGCTTTTCGAATTCCAATCCACTCTTCGGCAAGGAGAGGCTGAAAATTGAACAGTGATTCCTGAATTGAACAGTGACATTGATAACTTATGAATTCTTTTTTTATAATTTCTCAGTCAAAAAAAGCATTTGAAAGCTGAAAGCCAAAAAAAAAGTCAAAAAAAGTTTTCGAATTTGTCAAATTATTGACGAAAATGAAAGCTTAATATTATGATAAACAACTAGATGCCGTAAATAACAATGCCAGAGACAAAGATCCCGTAAATAACAATGCCAGAGACAAAGAAAGCTTTGTGAGTATTGTGAAATAATTGCACAAAGTATAAACAAGGGAAAACTTCATAATCTTCATAATCTTCATAATCATCATTACTCCTCACTTCTCTTTCTCTTCGCTTGTCCAAACGATTGGCTTGAGCTTCATGTTGACACTGTTTTCAATCTAAAATACTTTTCAATTACTCATTTTCATTCATTTTTCAGTACTTTTTCAATTACATATTGCCATTTTACACTAAAAAGCAACCAATTTCTATTTATAGGGCTTATAGTTAGGATTTAAAAATTGTATGCTATTTGTATGCCAAAGATTTACATTTAAATCATTTACAGGAAAACATTTACATGTTAGGCATTCAAAAGCATTAGATTAAACGTTCAAATTTTCTTACCAAATTCATTGTTTGATGAGATTGAGGATCGGCGAGCTTTTTGGGGAATTCGAAAGAATTTCGTCGCTCGATTGGGGTTTCTTTGGCCGTCTGAAAAGGAAAATTGTTGTTCAAAAAAACCTTTTGGTATTATAATTTCTACAGTGAGATTTGTTCTTAAAATCTTTTTAAATTAATAAATAAATACTTACATCAAAAAGTTGAAGAATAATCTTTGCCACATTCAGATCGGCGTTCACTGGTTCCTTTTTGAGGAGTTTCCTTTTCGACATGAGATGAGCTCTGGGCGCTGAAAAAGCTAGTTTTATATAACTAAAAAGATTTAATTCTAACATTATCTAAGTTATCTACTTAGATAATATCTAAGGATAATATCTAAGGATATATCTAGTTACTAATTATTGTAGTTTAAACTCACGTGCTTTTGTGCTTTCTATCAACTGTTCGACTGGTTTCACCTCTTCACGACTGTTCAATTTTCGATTTACTTCACTCGTCTTCATGGGATTTGTTAAAGTGTCACTGAAATCCGCTTTCACACCTTATCATTAGTCTATTGGTTTATAAATCCAGCAGCAACTATGGTTATGGTCCACAAGTATGACTTAACGTTTTTGTGGACCCAGTTATAGTTTCAGGAAAAGGTCCTTAAGCATATCATTGTTATCTTGTTTTAATGTTAAACTCAACTACTCCATTACAGTACTCATTACAGTACTACCGTACAAGATACAAGAAACTCACTGTCTATTTTGATTTGAGGAAACAGTTGTTGTCAGTTTTGAGCTAAAGTTTTCAATTCAAATCAATTCGATATTTTCCCAGGCTGACCTTGTGATTTGATGAATCATTTCTATAAACGGTTTTCTCGGTAAACGAGTGGTTGGGAAAGGTTGTAGGGTTGAGGTGAAAAGATTCGGGAAAGATGGAAGAGTTGAGGGGAGAGGTTGGAGCCAAATCGGCGATGGGGGCATTGCGAGAGATCTATTGGGTATTTGATAGATAAAATTATACTAGAAAAACTTTAAAATAGTTGAGAAACAAGGAAAATTTGTATATCCACTGTTAACCTTTCAAAATCTCTCACTTTTCAAGGTTTTTCTCGTTGAAGATCAAGTTGAGTGGAGCTCTGTAAAGAGATAAAAGTAAGATTGCTTCTTTGGCTAATTTTCTAGGCTAAATTAACGCTATGGACTTGTTTTCAAGCTGATCAATCAATCAAAATTTAAATTTCTAACTCACTTCTGTAACTTCTCAATTGTTTCTAACATTGGTGAGAAGAAAAAGCGCTGCGGACTGCGGCGGATTTGCATGACGAACTCTGAAATTAGAATTCAAATTGATGGGATATTCCAAACAATACTAATACTACTTTATATTAATAGATTTAAAATTCCGAACTTTGTTTTCTCTCCCGCAAAATCTCTTGTTCTTTTTTCGGGCTGACAGTAACGTTGTCGAGGATCAGACTGGAGATTGTTGTCTAGGAAAATAGAAAAATAGAAAATTTCCACTTACAATCCTTGAACAAGTTATTAGATCAATTTAAATCATAAGTATTACTCTAAACGTAGAAATTGTTGGCTCCAGAGTTGATTGGAAATCATTTTGCCCATTTCTTGAATCCAACAATTCTCTCAATTTTGTCGTCTTTTCGATCACCGCACGGGCAAGGTTCACATCATCTCTAAAATTAATTCATACAAACATTTGAAAGCCAGAAATTCAAATTTCAATGAAATAGTGCAATGAAATAGCATTTAGTACGCTAATTTTCAAGCTCTAAACCCACTTCGCAAAAGCTCGATCGATCAAGAGTTTGCCCATCTTGTGAGCACAAATCTCGGCTTGATTTAGCAAATTGGCGCTCGTTTTGCGCAATTCTCGTGTCAACCACGAGGCAGACGACTCTTTGAAACAGCTGAAATTTGATTGAGCATAGATTTCACATACCTAGTTGTAAGATGATCAGCTCCAGCTATCTTACAGTTTCGAGCTGTATTTTGGAACTACAGAGTGATTCAAAAGTTTGACAACTTTTAAAACTTGAGATTTCAAAATAAATAAAATAACCGAGGAAAGCTATTCAACTAAACTTTTTTAAAATAAAAGCCTTAATAAAATTTATACTTAAAATCACTAAAAGCTCACGGCTCATAGTTTTTTTTATATGATTGATCCTTTGAGCGCTGCCAAAGTCTTTTCTTTTCATTTTTAATCATCCGTGAAGTTTAGACTAATTTCAAACAAACATTTATAAACTTTTAATGTTATAAACATGTTTTAATGTTATAAACATTTATAAACTTTTAAATCTTTATGCTAAAATGTTAGAAAATGATTTTAAAAGCGTTTTGGTTGACATTTATTTGGATAGAAAATATAAAAATCAACAGATTTTAGTGTTTTTTATCAAAAAAGAGCAGTTTCGGTTATTTTAATTAGAAAAGAATTTAAAGTTTTGTGTAAACTGCTTAATTTCATTGACATAAAATGACAATTTCTTTGTAGATCGGTAACTCATAAGCTTCTTTTCAATAAAATACAATTTTTAAAAAGCCAAACTCACGTGTTTGCTTGAGAGCAACAGGACAACAATCTCTCGCAAACTTGAAGCTCTTTCTCGATCGTTGAAGAACAAGATTGGTTTAGGGTGACTGCCGAAGAGCAATTCTAAAAGATAATGTCAATTATTGAATGAAAACTTGCTTTTAATAGACTTTTGAAATCGATTTACCCCATTTTCGTTGACTGAAGTCGGCAGTGAGCTGACTTTCTTCCTGAATCAAAGGATTATTATATATTTTATAGAAATTTTGCAAACCATGACTCCTCTCGTCCGACACAAATCGAGAATAAAGCCTCTTTTCGAAGAGAAAGCACTTGGAATTGTCTAAAATTGAAAAACAAAATGAAATTATCGGGGGTGGGACAAATGCAACCTTTTTTTTTGCGCACCTGGACATTTGCGCACCTTTTTTTTGCTGGAAAAGGCCTTAGGAAAGGTCGTAGAGCTTCAAAAATGTTTTCATAGGAGGGAATCGTATGCGTAGATTCCGAATTTCGACAAATCAGACCTCGCTGACACGTCAAATTTGGGCTAAAAGGCAAAACTACGCAACTTAACGCTTTTCCACAGTTTTTGCCTTTTAGCCCAAATTTGACGTGTCAGCGAGGTCTGATTTGTCGAAATTCGGAATCAACGCATACGATTCCCTTATATGGAAATATTTTGGAAGCTCTACGGCCTTGCCTAAAGCCTTTTCCAGCAAAAAAAAGGTGCGCAAATGTCCAGGTGCGCAAAAAAAAAGGTTGCATTTGTCCCACCCCCAAATTATCTAATCATTATTAAATATATCTACTTTTATAACTGTTACCTGAAATTATGTTCATTTCGACAAGTGGAAGCAGTAGATTTTCGAATCCTTTCAATACATTGCAAATGTTGTTTAAGAATCGCCGAACGACACGAGAGAAAATCACCGCAACTTGAGGATTTCTAAAAGTATTGCATTAAATTATATCAAAACTTTCTATAAACACTTCATTATGCTTAGATAAGTATCATCAAAATACAAATAAACAAAGATAAACAAAGATAAATAAACTTATTGCTACGTTTTTAATTCCTTAATAACAAATGATTCAAAATAGCATACCGCTTCGGTTGTTCTCCCGGAAAATAGTAACAAAAAGACGTTAAATATCAGAAATAACATGCTCACATAGCAATTCGATTGATTTAAGCTGAAAAGAAATAATTTAATCAATTGAAAACAATAAAACCCACGAAAATCTTAAAGAAAAACAACATTAAACAAACAAAGAAACAAACAAACAGACAGACAGACAAACAAACAGACAAACAAACAGACAGACAAACAAACAAACAGACAAACAAACAGACAGACAGACAGACAAACAAACGGACAAACAAACAAACAGACAAACAAACGGACAAACAAACAAACAAATTAAAGATTTCTTCTCTAAACCCACTTTTCCCAAAAACTAAACATTCAATTTGAAGAAAATGAATGCATTTCAACTAGAACAAGGGAAAAGTGGTAATTTTTGAAATCAATTTCAAAAATGAAGTCAAACAGCTTTAGAATGGCATAGAAATGGCATAGAAAATCGAGTTATAAGATGAAATTTGGAGATTTAAAACTAAAAAGGAATTATTGTTTCAGATTATTGTTTAAAAAAGAACTTATGAAACCAAAAAATGACTATTGACGTATTGCCAAATCGTTTTTTTAAAATGCAATCTCTAGATTGTTCTAAACGGCTAAAAGCATCGAGATTTCGAGGCAAATCGGGCAGCTTTTCGAACTGGTTACAATTGATGGAATGAGGAGAGAAAATCCTATTAGCTTCGTGAACAAGTCTTGACCACTTTTTTTTGTTTTGCTTAGGAATGACTAGGTCACCAATTCACCTTCAAATAGAAGATGTTTTCTTTAAATAAAAAATGTTTAGCATTCACTTTTCGATCATTTCAACCCGATTTGAGTCTATTTTTCAAGTAAATTCGAGTGTAAAAACGTTTTTTTGTTCGCCAAAATTCGATCAAAACTCCTACAAAGAAACTGGCTGAATAGATTGTTCTGAAACAAAAACACAATCGTCTACGACAGTAAAATTGAGTCCAGAAAGATTTTTGCTAATAATTTGCTAAATTGTTCGCTCCTAAATCTCCTATGCTAAATGCTAATTTCCACGGTTTCACCGTGTTCCCCACCTTCGGATATTGGCCTTTTGGTCTTCTTGATGTTTCTGAAAATTTCGCTCTATACCAAACTTTTTCTGCTCTATTTTTTATCTATTGACACGAAGATACCGTAAATACTGTAATTGTACCCCACCCCCATAATGACGGTGCGGAGCGTTACGTAGTCTAGCTTTGAACGAGTTTTTCTCGACACTGGTTTATGCTACAATGCGCGCTTAGGTATCAAAAAATAGCTGAAATTCAGGGCTATTGTTTGATACCTAAGCGCGCATTGTAGCTTAAACTAGTGTCGGAGAAACTCGTTCAAAGCTAGACTACGCAACACTTCGTACCGTCATTATCTTTGGTATCAAAAAATAGTCCTGAATTTCAGCTATTTTTTTATACCAAAAACGCACTGAATTGTACCCCACCCCCATAATGACGGTGCGGAGCGTTACGTAGTCTAGCTTTGAACGAGTTTTTCTCGACACTGGCTTATGCTACATAACACGAAAAGGGCCGATAAAAAGCAACATGATATAATATAGGTATATGGATAGCAAAGATAACGTCAAGGATCCACTAGAGCTTCGAGATTTGATCAAATCTTTTGATTTAATTTTATAAGGATAGCTTCTCGCGTTGAAACACAAAGCTTCTAGCGTTGAAACACAAAGCAAAGTCTGCCTAACCCTGGACCATCTGATCCAAAAGCCAGGCTGGGCAGACTGGGCAGACCAGGGTCAATCAGGGACAGTCAAAGTCCAGGGTTAGGCTAGGGCTCCACCCTAACTCTTGAAACTTATCAACTTCCTATCCCTTAAATCCTAATGTTTAAATATTTAAGTTTAAAATATTTAAGTTTAAAATATTTAAGTTTAAAATTTTTAAGTTAAAACCTTTTAAAAACGTTCTCAGATTTTTCCACTTTAAAGATTAAATCTTTCATTGTTTTTTTTTGGTGAAGAAAATGAAAAAATCGAAAAGCTTTACGGGTTTGGCAGAATCCAATATGAAAATCTTTCAGAAATTGAAAAGAGAAGAAGAAGAGAAAAAGGAGGAAACGAGGAAAAGTTCAACGATTCTTTCCACTTTTCACAAAAGGAAACAAGCTTTGTGCTAGATTGCCGAAAAAAAACCAAGAACAAATAGCAAAATGTGTAAAGAGAGTAGCATTTTGAAAAACTTTCGCACACCCAAAAATACAGTCGAAAACGACAAAAATTTGCTTAAAACATTCAAATGAGCCATTCAAGAGAGCCATTTTTCTTCCACAAAACATCAGCTTTTGTATTTAAAACTATACAGCCTAGAGTAAAGGCTAAATTTTGATTTCATTTGATATAATTTGATATAATTCTGGTACACTTTTTGAGTATATAAAAGTGGATATAGGAAAGACTCGTCTAGACTCGTTAAATGAGAATATCGTTTAAATTCTTTATATTATTGTATAGAAGAATGCATTGTAGGTTTTGAATAATGCAAAATAGAGTTTGATTTTTGATTTAAACTCAATTCCAGAAAGCCCAGAAAGATCAGAATTCCAGAAATTCTAGAAAGATCAGAATTCTAGAAAGCTCAGAATTCCCGAAGGCTCAGAATTCTAGAAAGCTCAGAATTCTAGAAATTCTAGAAAACTCAGAGTTCCAGAAATTCTAGAAAGCTCAGAATTCTAGAGAGCCCAGAATTCCAGAAAACTCAGAATTCCAGAAAGCTCAGAATTCTAGAAAGCCCAGAATTCCAGAAAGCCCAGAATTCCAGAAAGCTCAGAATTCCAGAAATTCGAAAACCAAAGTCAACTCGAACGAATTGAGTGAAATTAAAGAATGCTCAAAAAAATAGAAACGGAAAAGAATTTAAAATAAAGCTAAAATAACAAAAAGATTCACGAGTTATGATGTTCTTTTTTTTCTAAAAGAACATCATTTCATTCAATATTTGTTGTTCTAAAAGAAAATGGTGAGAAATTTTGTGTGGCACAAATGCGAAGAAAAGAAAATGAGAAGTGTGGATCCGGCTGGATGAAGGAAAGGAGGAAGATTCAGATCTCCTTTCAAAACGAAGAAGAAAAGCTGACTGTTTCCTTTTTCATTTCTTCACGAAAAGATCAGGACCAGAATTTTTGCATATTCTCAGTTTTCTTTTCGTGGAGAAATTTCCAAAAGCTTAAAAGAATTTGAGAGATTTTCTCGACAGATTGTCGAATTTCGACTTATTCGCTTCAGGTTTTTTTTTGGTTCTTTGTTGAATTATTGCATTCCAAACAGAAAGATTTCATTAAAATACAACCGATTACAAAACCCGAGCATAAACTTGTAAGCCCGTAAATTTACCGTAAATACTGTAATAGTAAAGCATAGATCAAAGTCTATATGGAAAGGTAAAGAATAAGAATAACAGATTGAAAGTTAAATGCTAGTGATGATGCTAGTGGTGATGCTAGTAATGATGCTAGTGGTGATGCTAGTAATGATGCTAGTAGTGATGCTAGTAGTGATGCTAGTGATGATGCTAGTGATGATGCTAGTGATGATGCTAGTGGTGATGCTAGTAATGATGCTAGTAATGATGCTAGTGATGATGCTAGTGATGATGCTAGTAGTGATGCTAGCGATGTTGCTAGTGGTGATGCTAGTGATGATATGTTTTAGTGTTAGGGATGGTTTTGAAGATCTTTTTGCTAATATTAAAAGCTTTTGAAATATATAAAGCGTCAAAAATCGTCTCATTTGAATGAATTCGATGGATTTTACGATCTCCTTGGTGTATTTTATGAGTTTTTTTTGTGGGTTTTCGCTGAAAACACGAAAATCTTGTTGTTTCAATGGCTCTCATTTCACTCATTTGAGACATAAAATGGTGGAAAATGGTGGAAAATGAGATTTTAAATAAGGAAGAAGTTGAGTTCGTTGATTGATTTAAATTCTTGAGTACAAAGTACACTAAAAAGCACAAGCGCTCGTTTTGTTAAACTTAAGAAAACTGTAACTGTTATCTAGCCAACAATAGTTTATCGGCGGGGGAAATATTCAAGAAATATTCAGACTTTAAAGCTCAAAAAGTCGATTTTACCTTACAGAGTTTACCGTAATCCGTTTTTTTTTTTCGAAAACGTAACCTAACGATCGCTCTACATGTACTCCCGTTTTGATCGACTGATAGTCTAATCACCTCTAATCATTAATCAATCATCAACTAATAGTCTGAAAGTCTAACTCTCAACTCTTTTAACTACTCAGCTATTCAGCTTTCCAGCTATTCAGCCTTCCAGCTATTCAGCTTTCCAGCTATTCAGCTTTCCAGCTATTCAGCTAGTCATCTATTCAGCTAGTCATCTATTCAGCTTCCAAAGCTAACGCGAAATCCCTTTCCATTCCTTGTACTCCCTCTCCATTCCTTGTACTCCCTTCCCTTTCCATTCCTTGCCTTCCCTCCCCTTTCCATCGCTTCTCATTCCCGATTGGGTCATCGTCCTTGTTTTCTCCTTCAATTTTCGATTTTTTTCTCCTCCACTTTCACTCTATTCCTTCATTCTTTTCACAAAGGAATCGCCCTTCATTGAACGGCCTGGTACTAGACTTTATGTGACCGACTCCAAGTGCTTCACTAGATTTTTCTCTATCTAGCTCAATCTATTAAGCTACTGAACTTTACGTGACTCCTTTCAACTAAACCATATTCTAAAGGGTGTCAATTTTCAAAAGCTATTACGCTGCCCAAAAAAAATCTTTTCGTTTCTTTTCGTACTTCCGTTGAAAAAAAAAATAACAAATTCATCAATTAACCTATGGTTTTCTCTAAATAAAAAGTGTTTATTGTTGAATTTTCCATCTTTTTAAGTCAATTTGGATTCACTTTGAAGCAAATTCGAGGTGAAAACTCGTGTTTTTTGTAGAAATCTATCATACCAATAAAAGAAAAGTGGCTGAATGTACGGAATGGAAGTACGAAAATACGGAAGTACGGAAGTACGGAAGTACGGAAGTATGGAAGTACGGA